CATGTGTACATTTTTTTTATTTTTTTTATTTAACAATTCTTTATTTGATGACATTTTCTTACATTCGTTTAATAACTATACAATAATTAATCCTATATAGAATAAATTATAATTTTTTTAAAGTCACTAATGTAAATTCAAATTAACAATAAACGAAAATATCAGAACAATTCTGTTTTTTTCCAAGCTACTTAAGCTCATCCTATTCAGCAGTTGATTTTTAAGTGTCATTTTTAGCTCGTTAAATGAAAATCACCGATCATTATGTTCACAATCGGTTGCGAATGAGTTACAAAAAGAAATGCAAAAAATAAAAATCAAGATTTTATTGGAAAGCTTTACGTTTATTTCATATATAATATATAACTATTTGCATTTACTGAAATGATATAAAAAATATTATGATTTTGTTTTGGACCATTTGTATATTTATGATTTTCATAAATGAATGTTACAACCATGGCACCTTTCTTGTCTATAAGCTATCAGCAGTGGACTTATGAAAGGCTGTAATGATGATAATGATGATGAATGTGTTTCACATATGGAAAGATTATACATTGTAAAAGTTTAACAAGTGAAATATAAATTTATAAATTAATCATATTTTAAGAATTAATTATTCGGAGGCTGCTATTTGGTCCTGTTGAATAGAATCACATTTCTTTAAAAACGAGTATAATATAGAGGCCCAATATTGGTATCGCGTGTCGTGCGTGACATGAAACATTTATCACTATAAAGGCTTCGTTAGTATAGGTTTTGCAGTTGAAATACGAGATCGGAATAGGTTGTGTTCCACAGTTCGATACCCATGAGAAAGAAGTCATGCTACAATAAGTTGTCGCTCGGAAAAATATAATTTAAAGTAAAAAATAGATAGATAAAGTTATTTAAACTGTTGTACACGAGTAAACAAAAATAGACGTAAAAACTTTAAATTTATAGTTCAAAGTGTTATGCTTCGATTGTGTACAAGCGGTGTAAGAATATCCACTACCCCATATCATCCCGTGGATGTCGTAACGAGACGACAGAGGGAAACAAATCAGGAGATGGGCAGCAACGTCCTCCTGATAACAACAAAAAAATAAAAAAAAACTGCGGATGCCGACAGTTTGCAGTTTTTAACCCTCTACCAGGCGTGGCAGCAATGGAAAATATCCCCCACTAAGAGGCAATCTACGAGGACGGGTATGTTCTGCAGTGGACTCTTGGTATGCTGTAACAGTAACTGCAAGTTTTATAACATGACAATTCCTGTCTTTTCTTGTGCACAAAAAACTATTACATTTGTATAAATTGCGGTACCTAAAAAGGTATTTTTTTAAATTACGTTTGTTGTTTGTTTTTATTGTTGCGGCAATCCTAAGTCTAAGTCAAAGCAGAAAATGAAAAAAATAAGAAAAGAAAAAAAATTAAAGGAATTAAGCGTAGTTATTGTATTCTCCTTATATATCAGAAAGAAAATGCCATTTTTCTTAACATAATAAGGGTGAAAAGCGAGCACACAGCCCATCTGATGGCAATCTATATGTATCCTCGATTAAAGATCAAAATCCAGTTGCGTTGTTACCCCTGAGGACTAATATGGAATTCCTCCCCCGGTCTAGCCGATCCATTCGTGCTACATCCATAATATAGCTGCAACATGGCTCTACTACGTAAAAGGCATTAAGTAATAAATGGATTAAATTATAAAGTTTTATTATGTTTCAAAGAGATAACATATATTTAAAACTGGTTTTACTAAAGCTTAGCCACATTTAATTTTCTACTTATGTAAATGCTGAGCATTAAGGCGCAGGTTGAGCAAAATGTCGCGCTAGTCGTTATTTGGGCGGTTTTTAGGAGCTATCTACTTTTTATTTAAAAGATATATCAACAAATAAAAAACACATTATATTTCTACATAATCTTGATTCCATAAAAGCTATATCCAATTTTTTTTTAAAGGAATAAATATTAATATAATCTCCTTACAACGAAACCACATAAATGTGAAATTATTACTGATAACATGCATCTCCTCGTAAAGTAAGTATTATTTTATTTTGCGATTTACACCAATGGATAGGCAATTTATTAATAAACATTTCTATAGTAAATTTTTTTTCAAAAGACCAAAATTTGATTTTATTAAGAAATTATTTTAAAATCTGGGCATATTTACTGCTCACGGGCTTGTTGAAGTCAGTGAGCGCTGAGCTCTTCGACGTGAAGCCCGTGTCGTTAGAGCGTCGACCAACGCATACGCCACGTCACATGAGTCGATAATATTATTACTTATTAGGTTATTTATAGGTAGTATTATTTGTTTGTTTTGGGTATAATTTTTCGTATTAGTTATACATATATTTGTTGTGTTTTTTACTGCGCGATGAAGATTTTTGCGTGTATTTTCTTTGAAGTAAATGCAAATAAAAAAATGAAGCACCATTAGCATGTAAGGTTCGAATCCATAATTAAAATTTCGACAAATATTATAATTTACACTATAAAAGGCTAATTCAATATTATCACCCAACCACAATATCTTATCAGGTATAGTACTGCCTCGTTGGTCTAGTGGTTGTAGTAGTGCGACTGCTGATCATGAGGTCCCGGGTTCGAATCCTGGGTCGGGCCAAAATGTCAGTTATGAGTTTTTCATTTATGTTCTAAGTTATAATTAGTATTACTAAGTTATAGTTTTTTGCTAAAATATAGTATATTATTTATTGCTTGTTTTTTCTTCTTTTTCAAAAAATAATTGAGTACATAAGGTGTTCTATACTTATAACTCGGTAAAAAGTACTAATATACCTACTTTTTACTATAAACTAAAAATTTTTAAAACTAAATTTAACTAAAAAGACTAAACTGACCATTTATTTTTTAACTCATAACAGGACATGGGTTTATTTATACTCTAAAAACTATAACTTTATACAATTAGTGTTCACTATAAAATTATATTCGGTATAGACGGTAATTATTAAATGCAACATATTTTTTTTTTAATTATTAATTACATTTGTCAGTGGATTAAATTTGCTTTAATAAAGTTGGTGATGATTTTAAATAAGAATAAAATTCTGCTCAAGTTTTTTATTGTTATCTTTGTCCTTCAGAACTCTGGAACCGTAAGTGTTTCTTTCAGACGTCCACAATTTATGCAAAATAAAAAATACTCTTTCTACCGGAGCATTCGTACCAGGTAGACATAAAATATATTCGATTAAAAAAAATTATGTTGAAGATTGTTGACTTTGAATACTTCCATCCAACGAGTTACGGGACAATTTTGTGTCCCGGAGCTTTGTTTGGGGACAATGGGACAGGAGACCGAGAAAAGGGACAGTCCCGTTCAAAATGGGACATATGGTCACTTTAGCTATAACCCGGCGACCATGAAGCAAATACAAAGTTAGTCTTTGTATTAGCTTCATGGTGGCGCAGTGGCTTAGCAATCAGTTGTTGCGCTGGGGGCCGCGGGTTCGAATCCCGCATGGAACAAGATTTGTATGGCCTACAAATAATTGTTCCGGGTCTGGATGTTTGTCTTTGTGCAATTTATGTTTGTAAACTGCCTCCACGACACAGGAGAAAATCCTAGTGTGGGTGTAACGTTTTTTTACAACTGAAATTGAAAGATTGAACCCTTATACTTCTTGTTGATTTTTGTGTTTATATATTTTTATTGCACCAAATATTTGTACAAAAGCCGAGTTATCTATTTATTTACCTATAGTGAATAGGTATCTTTTAAACTCACAATTTTCAATGCTTCCGTTTTAATATATAATTAATTATAAAATTTCATAATTAGATAATATATGAAAATACATAATTCTAATATAATGCAACTAATATATACAGAATAAAAAAATTAAAATACATTTATCTTTGTACGCTATGTGTATTTCCATAAAATAGTTTATTGATGTTGAAAAAATAATACTACTTTCGTACAATAGGTGGCGTCTTACATATTTATTCCGGCGAGCCGCTCGCTACAATATATTAATATTGTTGCGAACGGCGCGCCGGTCAAATGCTCAAGGTCGTTCGCATGGAGTAGCCCCTTAAGCTTTTTGCAAATTATAATAAATGAGACATCTACTAAAATATGGATGCGTGTGTTGGTGCGAAAATTTTCCCATTTAAAAGTTATCAAAATTATTTAAAAATAAAATCATTTGATCTGTCGAGTACGGTCTGATGTCAAAAATCTCCTAAACAAATGTTGCAATGAAAGTTATTGATTATTATACAGGTATTCTTCCAACATTGAGGCAGTGCGGTGGACATTTCTTAACCTAAAACACTTTAAAAATTAGAGGGGTCCTGTGCCCAGCAGTGGTACGTACATAGGCTGTAACTAACTTTCGAAAAGATTTAACGAAAGTCTAATTCTGTATTTTTTTCTCTAGATTTACACCTTTTCAAAGCAGTTTAATAAAAATAATAAAATGCCTTTTGTTTATAAGCAATTATATTTTATATATAACAGTATATGGAAATGTTAATATTCAGTTTTGTAAATTTGTTTCATAAAGGTATTTATTATTATTCATCGGTGACTTGCTGTTATGGAAAGTGCTTCCCTAGTTGGGGGTAAACGTTTACGATTGTTGTAAACGATTTCAAAATAGATACATACATATAATATAACCTCATGATTTTGGAAGCTCATATTTGTAGTATTCATATTCGTGGTCCTTTCTCGGTTGAGCCGACCAATTCGTGCTACAACTAACATAATATAGCTGTAGTATGGTTCAAACACGTTAAATAATTTGTTTTTAATTATAATTTTTAAAATTACGTTATAAAAATAAATAATAAAACATTTCAAATTTCAAGTAAAATTATTTTTATATTTAATGACAGTGTCAAAATAAACAATAAAAGAAACAGTAAACGATTTTTTAATTACATTCAATAGTACCAACTGTTCTCTAATACACACATTTTGATAATCCATATCCCTACACCAGGCTTCAAGATCAGACTGATTAAAAAGGATAGCTCGTGCCGGTATTGACTCTGTAGATTCCGCCTCTGAAAGCAAAGTTATAATTTCTGTTAGAAAAACTTTCTTTGAACGATTTAATTGAAAATCACCTTTCTCGAACTCGTATAACTTTTAGTAGATAAAATCAACTTACCCTAATTTAGAATATGAATTTGTGCCCATTGCAAGACGATCACCGTTACACCGATTCAACGTTAATTGTGAAGTAGATGCACAATTATTTCCTAATAGCTGGTGGTTTGCGAGTAATGTGGCTGCGAAAAATTCCCAGGCACGATTATGGCTACAAGAGTTAGATAGTAGGCAACCTGGTTGATTGCTGCCACCGTTAGGATAAAAGTCAATGTGGCCTAAAGCAGTACCGATGCCATTAGCAAAAATACCATGTGTATCAGTATGAATAATTTCCACATAGCGTGCATCGGAGGAAGTCAATCGGCCTGAATTGCTACCCCATTGTTTTCCAGAAGGATCCAAACCTGTAAAAGTTAAGATATATTTTAGAAGTTTACTTTAATATTGGAGGAATATAAAAAGAACAAAAATAACCAAGAAAAAAAAACCATGGACAATCTGTTAAATTAATTTTATAAAATTTATTTGCCAAAGTAACTTTAATACGAATTAAAAATTAATATTACGGCGGCTATGTTAGTTATGGGAGATAAGTCAGTAATAGGTATGAGAGAAAATTTTACCAGTTACTCTTGCAACTTGGCCTTGCAGTTTCCTTCCAGCAAAACCAACAACGTGTGCACCTAGATTGAACCCTATTAGGTGTAATCTATTTAATTCCACTAGGTTAGCATTTATTAAAATCGAGATAAGATCTCCCAAATATGTTCCAACACTAGGCACTGCCGATACAGCCGATGAATAGCTCTTTCTAGCATATATTGACCAGTCAACTACGATCACGTTCACTTCATAGTTCTGTAGATAAGCTGTAAAAATAATTCATAAAAACATAACTAAATGTTTAACTTATTGTTGAAGATAACTAATGCACCTTGTTCCGAGGGGTTCTAAAATTTGCACCATATTCCGAGATATTTAGAAAAACTGCGTTTGCGAGTAAAGTACAAGCTCTTTTTTACTGCAAGATCTCTTAATCAATTGATTATATAACTTTGCGTAGTCATATCATCAAAGGTCTGGAGTAATGTGTATGTGTATGTGTTAAAATAATTGATTAGTTTTACGCCAGCGGATGGTCCGAACTCACGCTTCATATATTTAGGACCTTGTGCACGTGAGTACCATGTATTTTTGTGGCGTGGATGTAATTTTTTGAGTTCTGTTTCAAGGATTCTATTTTTAATCGAAAACACTAATGTTTTTCTGAATAAATCGTGGTGAAAATACGTCTTGAAAGTACCGCAGCATTAGGTGCCAAATATTTCAGTCGGCTCCTTATTCCGATGAATACCGCGGAATAGCGATTTCAGATACTTCATTTTCTGATTAGGCCCTTCAGGCTTTGGGTTCGACAATTTAAAAAGACAATGAATACTAAAATCTATTTCCAAGGTATACTTTTGCGTTTCATTCATTAATTATATGTCTGCCTGTCTATATGCATGTCAAAGGTTTTTTTGGATTATTTAGGTATTTTGTTAATTCATTATATGGGAAAGCTAAGAAGGAAAATTTAGGTTCATTCGTAATTCGATGTCATTTTAGCAAGTATTATATTATACGTACGATGATTTTATAATTAAGTATTAATCTATGCATAAATTATGCAAAAATCTTGCATTTTTAAACACTCAGAATTAGATTTTTTAGTATAAAACGATATTCTGATGTACAGTAGGTACATTGGAATAGCGTAGGATAAGGTTCTAAGAGCACCTTATTCCGCGACATATGTGTGTGTATATGCAAAACACAGAGTTTTAACAATTCACGCAGCTTGCTATGCACTTTCTTTTTGTTTCAATAACGCGTAGGTTCGTATTTCCTTTATAATAGCTTTCATAAACTTAGGTACGTATTTGCAAACGTTTATTTTATGAATAGTAATTGTCAACTACATTAATCTTTCTATATAAAAATTACGTGGCACGTTGTTTGTCCGCGATAAACTGCTACTGAATTGATTTCAATGAAATTCCTCACACTGAGTTTGTTCCAACTTGAGAGATAGGATACTTTTTATCCCGATAAATGACCTTAAATATTTTTATTACAAATTTAAGGATTATTTTTTTATGGGAAGGGTCGTCGGAAAGGGCAGAACAACGTCTGCCTGGCCAGCTAGTTTTATAATATAATTTTACACAATGTCTTGCTTTAGAGAAAACCACATATTGTTTGTACTACTATTGTAATAATGCGACGAGTATTAAAATAAATAAAATTCATTTACAAATACATATTAAGTAATAGTGTCTGTGGCAGCGGGTAGGAATACCTACTGCCCCATATCTTCTCGTGTCGTAAAAGGCGACAGAAGGAAACTGAGTCAGAAGATGGGCAGCAGCATCTTCCTGATAATAGCAAAAGCAATAAAAAACTGCGGTTGCCAACCCGTTCATCAAGCGTGGCAACTATGGAAATATACCCCCAATAATAAATGGCCCCCAGTCCCCGCGGCCCCGCTATTCCTGGCTATGTTGGCGACCATGGTAACGGTGGGGCAGGGGGTGCTAAGGATCTCCGGTGGAGGTTTAGTTGCCACCTACGATGACTCAACCTGGCTGTTGCCATATAACGCACGCACCCCGAGGGCTGACGAGAAAATCCTGGAGCTTAAAGAAGAGATAGACAAGTTGCGCCAGAATATTATAGGAGAATCCGAAGTCCGGAGAGAGGGGGAAGACGCGGTAATCCTCGAATACGGCAACTTGTTCTATCACCGGGAGGGCGACCATCTGTCCCAAGGAGGTGTCGGATTTATCGTCCACAAGACTCTCGTTAACAACGTTGTAAAGATCGGGAGTGTCTCGACGAGGGTTGCGTACCTTATACTCAGAATCACCAAACGGTATTCGCTGAAGGTCATACAGGTTTACGCACCAACCTCGGCACACCCCGATGAGGAGGTGGAGGAAATGTATGAGGATATCTCTAGAGCCATGCATTCTTCCAAAACCCACTATACGGTGTTAATGGGAGACTTCAATGCAAAATTAGGCACAAGAGAGAACGGTGAGCTGAAAGTAGGGAAATTTGGATTAGCGCAACGGAACCCAAGGGGCCAGCAGCTGGCCGAATTCATGGAGAAAGAGGGACTCTTTATGATGAACTCTTTCTTCCAGTAGCGGCCCCACAGGAAGTGGACCTGATCGAGACCCGACGGTTCGACAAAAATGAGATTGACTTCATTATGACGACCAGACGACAACTGATCAGTGATATCTCAGTGATCTCGAAGGTGAAAACTGGCAGCGACCACCGAATGATAACAGGCAAACTAAACCTAAACGTTAAGATGGAGAGGTGTTGTCGTATGAAGTCAACGCTCCGTCTCCCTCGTGCTCTAATCCAAAGTCCCGAAACCATTCAAATCGTTACAAAATTGTTTTCAGTGCCTAGAAGATTGCAATGCAGTGGGCGATATAAATGACAAGCTCGTGGAAACTGTCCATGCGGTCGGAGCTAAGTTTTGCAAGAACCGCCGCAGAAGAACACAAAAACTCTCCAAACACACTCTTAATCTCATGGCGGTTAGACAGGAAATGAAGCTGCAGTCTTCAGTAGATTTGATAGCATACAGGCAACTGAACAGACAGATCTCCAAATGCATGCGATGGGACTTACGCAATTTTAATACTGCTCGTATTAAAGAAGCGATCGAGCTGGACCAGGCCTCCAAAGTCTTTGCCAGAGATCTGTCTGTCAGAAAGTTCCAACTTTTAAAGCTGAAGACCGAATATGGCAGCATCGCTTCCGAGACACCTGAGATTTTGAGTAAGATTGAGAGGTTCTATGGGCAGCTGTACACGTCATCATTGAAGCCACAAGCAAGTGTGAATAACGATCCAAGAGCGACTCTTATCCCACACTATTCCGATGTAATCCCGGACGTCAGTCGGCAAAAACGGCAAATCCCCGGGCGAGGATGGAATTACTTCTGAAAGCGGGTAGAAAACCGGTACTTAAAGTCCTTCAGAAGCTCTTTAATTCCGTCCTTCATGGAGGTACCACTCCGGAGGCGTGGAGCAGAAGTGTGGTGGTCTTGTTCTTCAAGAAAAGCGATAACGCTCTCTTGAAGACCTGCAGACCGATTTCCGTTCTGAGCCGCGTCGACGTACTTTTTTGGGGGTCATTACGAATACAGCCTCCCGAACAAGCCGGTTTTCGAAAAGGCTTTAGATCCAGAGACCACACATACTCTTCGGCAAATTGTACAGAAACTGAAGAGTACAATCTGCCACTTTGTCTCGTGTATGTGGACTATGAGAAAGCCTTTGATTCCTTCGAAGTTGGGCGGTGCTGCAGTCCCTCCAGCGGTGCCAAGTGGATATCGAAGTGCACCAGGGCTACGATGGCTATCCGAGTACAAAACCAGAGCACGAAACCTATCCAATTGCAGAGAGGTGTAAGACAGGGTGACGTAATATCCCCGAAACTCTTCACCGCTGCATTTGAAGACGTTTTCAAGCTACATTACTGGAGAAGATACGATATTAACGTCAATGGCGAGTACATCAGTCACCTTCGATTTGTCGACGATATAGTCCTTATGGCAGAATCGCTGTAGGACCTAAGCCCTATGCCCAATGACCTCAATACTGTCTCCCTACGGATAGGTCTTAAGATGAACATGGATAAAACAAAAATCATGTTTAACGTCCATGTTACACCTATGCCGGTATTTATTGGAAGCACTAAGCTCAAAGGTGATGACAAATACGTTTACCTGAGACAAATAGTCCGACTAGGAAAGTCCAACTTCGACCGAGAGGTCAATCGACGGATTCAACTCGGCTGGGCAGCGTTCGAGAGATTACGACACATCTTCTCGTTAGACATACCTCAAAACCTGAAAACTAGATTGTTCAACCAGTGCGTGTTGCCAGTGTTCATCTATGGAACTAAGACGTGGTCCTTCACTGCTGGCCATATGAGGAAGCTTAAGGTCACTCAGCGAGCTATGCAGAGGGCTATGCTCGGCGTTTCTCTGCGTGATAGACTTAAAATCGAGGATATCCACAGTAGAACCAGAGTAACTGACATAGCCCAAAGAATTAGTATGCTGAAGTGGCAGTAGGCCGGCCATATATCTCGAAGAAACGACAACCGATGGGAAGGAAAGGTTCTCGAGTGGCAGCCTCGTACCGACAGGCGAAGTGTAGGGCGACCCCCCGCTAGATGGAGTGACGACCTGCTAAGACATGCAGGAAGTCAATGGATGCAGATGGCTCGAGACCGTACTTTGTGGCATTCCTTAGGGGAGTCCTATGTTCAGCAGTGGACTTGTGAAGGGCTGTAATGATCATGATTAGGTAATAATAGGGTTTTATTTCAAAGTGTGAAATTTTTATGTTTATTATGAGAATGGATGCTTACTACGCAATCAAGCCATCTATCCCTACAAATTTTCAGATAACTACATAATTGTGCAAAGACAATACTTGCTGTAGATTTTGTGAAGAAAAACCAAAATTGGTCAACAACAACTTGTCAATTAATTAATTGCATTTTTAAAAATAGAAATAATTTGTCAGGTCTATACCCGCGGAGCTGATTATTCATATTTTTTAAATTTTAATTATTTTGGTTGTAGGATAGTGAACAGCATGTATTATTCTTACTACCATTTTATTTTGCAATTTGTACACTTGGGATTAGAAAACAAATACATTAGAATAAGGATTTTTACATCGGAATAAGGTGTCTCCGACTGACTTCTTTTAATTAATTTAGAATACAAATAAAGATCAAACCTATGTTTCTATTTTAACAGTAGAAACAATAATCGTTCTGATAAAAATAATATAATCTTCAAAAGGTGACAAATACCTTGTACAGGGCTATTTCAATCTCCTTTCGAGTTTTAGTAAAAATACTCTGAAAATAGGTGCCCTTACTTTATTATTAAGGTAAAAATCGTGAATATATTTTATTGTGGCTTTTAAAGGTACTTAGGACTTAAATGCGATAGTTTTTACGTGGTGGAACCATGATTTATGTAATTATAGCTTGAACCGCTAGCTTTGACCGAGAAAAGATAACGCTCGCCAAAAATACTGGCGCAAAATAGGAGCTGTGTTTCATATAGTAAGTTGGAACGAAAATCAGAGACCCCTTTTACTGGAAAAGAGGCATTTCTTCTTATTCCTCAGGAGTGACAACGCATTTTAATTTTTATGCGCATATCACAGATTTGCATACTCGACTGCTTCCCATTGTCATAGGCTTCGCTTGGGCGTTAATGAGATCTTCCAGGCCTTTCATTCACTCGTATCTTACGTTACCCTCGGATCGAGATCGGATGATAGATGAATGAAATGGATCGGACCACACATTCATATTCTGCTACTTTTTTAACAACAGCCTATTTCTGTGCACCACTGAGTCTTAAGAAAATAAAATTTATAACAGAAAAACGTTTAAAAAAAATATTGAAAAATAGAATAAATACAATGGATTTTTTTAAATAAAATAATGATTTCTTATATTTACGCGAACACTACTCATTGTATAAAACAACTTTTATGTATTCTATCGCGTTAAATTAAACGCGATAGAATACGTAAAAGTAGTTTTATTAAATGGATTTTTTTAATTGAACCAAAACGCATCTTACCATTCTTTAAAGTCGGATTGAGTGAATTAAAAGCACTTGCTTGGTGTCCATGAACAATTACGACTGTGTCGTGGGTGTTTATGATCCCTGATTCCGTTATTGTTGTAGGGTCATTTAACAAAATTTCCCTTGGTTCAAAAATATTTGCTCTAAAATATAAAATGAATGTTATAAGCATGCAACTCTCCTTACTTTGGATGAGATGTCTTAAACTTCTCGAATACGTCATCATCATTACAGGCATCATAATTCCACAACTGAACATAGGTCACTCCCATAGATTGCCATGTAGCTTGGTCCCGGCTCCCGAGCCATCTGCGTCCATCGAATCCTTGTATGTTTCATCATTACATCACATAGTACATACAACCCGTAACAAGAATATCTGTACAAAAACAAGAGTAGCTGATATAGTATAGTAGATCAGTAACTTAAGGTGGCAATAGGCCGGCCATATACGTATAGCTTGAAGTACTAATAATCGACCGAGAAGAAAGGGGGATGAGTCGCTCGCGTCCATAGGCTTCGACCACCTAATCCTAGGCCCACCCTACACGTGTCCCCCGGGTGGTGCTAAACGAGCGACAAAGCCGAAACGACAGACTCGGCTCCTCGCCGTGTGGTAGCGGCGTAAAATCTACCATCCCTTATGTCGCACCATGAGCCAACAATTTAAAGAAATGGCCCCGAGTTCCCGGCGCCCCTTTAATGGGGCAGGGGTGCGAAGAATCTCCGGGAGGAAAACCGGCGACGAGGTTCGCCACCCGTCACGTCCTGTCTCCCGGAGGGGCGAAAAGTGGATTGCGGAGGCCCGTCTGGCTACGCTGAATGTATGTGGAGCAATGAATGATAAGATGGATGAAATATGCGAAATGATGAATGATAGAGGAATAGATGTGTTATGTGTGAATGAGACCAAACGAAAGAGATGTCACTGCACATGGCATGTATACCGCTTACTGGTCTGGTGTAGACGAGAACGTACGGGCATGCCAGGGAGTCGGTGTCATCCTTTCAGAAAGAATGGGTCAATGTGTGAAAGAGTATGAATGTGTAAGCCAAAGGCTGCTGTGGATACGAATGAAAGTGGGCTTAAAGAAGTTTTTTGTGCTTGGGGTGTACGTCCCAGATATGTCTAAGCCCACTTATATCCGAGAGCAGTTTTGGGACATGGTAAGGCTGGTGTTGACGAAATGTAAGGAAAATGAAAATATTATTATGTTAGGAGATTTTAATGGAAGGGTTGGGGTGAAGAGGTCTGGTTATGAAAGGATATTAGGAGCGTTTGGCGATGAAAGAATAAATGAGAATGGTGAAGACCTCCTCACCATATGTGTGGAAAAGAATCTTTTTGTGGCGAACACTTTCTTTCGCCATAAGAGGATTCACATGTATACATGGGAAAGAGGGGATGATAGAAGCATGATAGATTTCATAATTGTGGATGGAAGAATGAGGAGCGCAGTGGTAGATACAAGGGTTTACCGGGGGTCTAACGTAGGGACGGATCATTACTTGGTCTTATGCCGAATTAATGGTCTATTAAAGCGTTGGCGGCATCGGACATCTGTGTCTACCACTGCGTTGCAGCGTATAAGAATAGAGAGGTTACAAGATGAAGGTGTGAAAGAGAAGTATAAATGCAGACTGAGGGAAAATATAAGTGTGTTGAATAAATTTTGTATGAATGATTTAGACTTGAAGAATGTATGGAATAATGTTAAGATAGTTTTGGTGGATACAGCCACCGAAGTATGTGGTGTAAGTAAGAGAACGAATGAAAGGAAAAGTAACACGTTGTGGTGGGATAATGAGGTACGGATGGAAGTTGAAGCAAATAAGAGGGCATGGCTAGATTTACTAGCAACTAAAGCTGGTAACTATGGCGGTATGAATGATGAGATTGAAAAAAGGCAGACTTTAGACGTATAAATAAGAGAGTAAAAGAAGTTGTTGAAAGGAAAAAGCAAGAAAGGATAGATAAGAATGATAGAAGAATATCTGATAACTTCCAGGCAAATATTAAAATGTTCTAGAAGCTCGTAAGAACTGCCAGTGGAAATTTAAAACAGACTATAATGAATGCTATACGAGACGAGAATGGCTGCATGCTGAATGATGAAGTTTCGAATTAAAAGAGATGGAAGGAATACTTTGAAAGCGTGTTTAAAAGTGAAGAGTCGTCTGAAGTAAGTGAAATAGAAATCCCGGAAGAAGTGGAGAGAGGTTGGGAGATAAGTGTAGATGAAATAGTGAAAGCAATGAAAAGCATGAAAGCAGGTAAGGCAGCCGGATATGATAAAGTACGAGTCGAAATGCTAAGTGCTGGAGAGGGTGTGGTTGCAGGCCTACTATACACCTTGTTTAATTTATGTTGGGAACTGAATCGGGTACCGGAAGACTGGTGCAAAGCAGTTATAGTCCCAATATATACGGGAAAGGTGTCGCAGCAGGACTGTAAAAACTACCGTGTTATCAGCTTGCTTAGCATTGTGGGTAAACTGTATGCTAAGGTGTTAATTGAAAGAGTTATGGAAGAAACTGATGGAAAAATTTGGGATGTGCAAGCTGGATTTAGAAAGGGGATGGGGTGTACGGATCAAGTATTTACCATGCGCATGATTGCGGAGAAATTTTTGGCCAAAAACCAGAAAGTTTTTTGTGCGTTCATGGACTTGGAAAAGGCTTATGACAGAGTGAACAGGAACGTGTTATGGCAAACACTGACCTCATTTGGGGTGAGAGCTGGTCTGATACAGGCATTAAAGTCTCTTTATAGGGACTCTAGTGCTTGTGTCAGGATCAACGGGGCCTACTTGGACTGGTTTGGCATTCGAAAAGGTGTCAGACAGGGTTGTGTAGCTTCTCCGTGGCTGTTTAACCTATTTATGGACAGTTGTTTGCAAACTTTGAAAGTTGAAGAATGTGGGTTGAGAATGGGTGAGTTAACTGTCAAATGCCTTTTATACGCCGATGATCAAGTCATATTTGCATCGTCGGCGGCCGAGTTGCAAATGATGGTTAATTTAATGAACTGGTCATTAAAAGAAAGAGGTATGAAAGTGAACGCAAGTAAGACGAAACTGATGGTTTTTGAAGGAGAAGAAAGTAAAAAGTTATGTGAAATAAGAATAGAAGGGGAGTTGATTGAGCAAGTGGATGAGTTTGTATATTTGGGATGTTTATTTAGCAGGGATGGTAGATATGACAAGGATATAGAACGACGAGTGAACGCAGGAAATAGAGTTAATGGGGCTCTACACGCTGTTATGAAGAGTCAGAATGTGTCAAAGAAGGCACGTATGGCAATTCATAATGGTGTGTTAGTGCCTACTTTAGTGTATGGTAGTAAAAGTTGGGTATGGCAGAAGAAGCATGAGAGTAGAATAAATGCTGGAGAAATGCGGTCATTACGGAGTATGCTAGGGCTGAATCTGAATGACAGGGTGAGTAATAGTGTGATAAGAGAAAAGTGTGGTTTGCAAGATGACGTTGTGACTAGGATTAAAAAAGGAATGCTTCGGTGGTTTGGTCACGTAGAAAGAATGAACGAGGAAAGAGTGACAAAGCAAATTTATGTTTCAGAAGTGAACGGCAAAGTCGAGAAGGGACGCCCTAGACGAAGATTTATCGACCAAATCGGCGATACATTGAAAATGGACCAGATTAAGAGTACCCTTAACCGACGAGCGTGTATGCGTAACTATATGGATGTAAAAGAGGCGAGAGAAGTGTGTCAGGATCGCGCCAAATGGAAGTCCGTAGTCTCTGCCTACCCCTCTGGGTGACAGGCGTGAGTATTTGTATTGTATTGTATTGTAAGAAAGATTATCGAGTGGGAGTCTTATGTTGTCAAGCGAAATATTGGGCGATCTTTCACTAGGTGGAGTATTATAACGATAGTTATGTATTCCGATATTGCACCGGAGACAATTACTTTGATTATTAAGAACTATTGCTGACTTGCGCCTGTAAGACCGGTGATCCCTTTACCGAAAAACTGATAACGACCTTAGTTTAATGTTTTTGTTTCTGTTTGCGCTAAAATAAATTGGCGTAGTAGTAAACTCTAATAAAAATACTACCAATAAAAATAATTATATTTCAAGCAGTGAAATCAATTTCCTATATCTAATATATTGGGTATTTACTTATGAAATTGCCGTTTTTTATTAAATAAGTTAGCGTAATTTTTTTCTATATTTTTTTTATGAATTAAAACTATCACCCTTGCTAACGCAGTCGCATTTATTGATGCCCTTCTTCATTGAATCAGCTGGATGGGAGGCAACAAATTCTTTAAAGGCATTTTGTACTGCCTCTCAGGTATTGAATTTTTTTCCCGCCAATAAGTTATCAAAATTTTGGAAAAAGTAGAAGTCTGTAGGCGTAAGGTACCTACGGTGGTAATGGTAACTACGGCGAATGACGGAGAGCTTCTAACCCCAGCTCTTGTAACTTGGAGACCGTCTGTTGTGTAGTATGCGGTCGCGCTTTGCCATGCAGGCGCAGCGGGGACAAGCGATTGACCAAGTCTGGAAGTAGACGTGCGAGCTTCTTGATCAATGTAGTACACATATGCAGTAATACTCATTCCATTTGGTAAGAAGCTGTGATAAATCACACTGGCGCTAGACCATCAAACAGTTACCATCACTTTTTTAGGGGTAAGTTTTCATTTAGGGTATTGTTTAGGTACTGAACCAGGATCTAATCAACTTGCTGAGTTTGGGATTGTCAAACAGAATACATTTTTCGTTGCAGGTAACAATGCGGTTCAAAATTTCTTCGTTTGTGTGCACTGCTCGCAAGGCACGTCTCGATACGTGCTTTGCGCCTGCGATCATTGAGTTAGTTAGGCACCTTAGGCATTTGTCAAGCTTTTTTACCTTGACAATTTGACGTAAATGGACCAATACTGTTTTGATGCTAACGTCGAAAACTGCTGCTAATTCAGCCGTTTAGCCGTCCAGATTGATTATCATCAGTTTCCACAATCTCCTTTAATTCGTCATTGTCGACCAAAGTTTTCGCATGACCACGGAATTCATTTTTCAGGTCGAAATATCCAGAACGAAAGCGGGCAAACCAATGACAAGTGGTTTGTAGTATTCGCTCCGGAAACGTCGTTGATGTTGCGTGCCGCTTGTGCCGCGTTGCTACCACGATGATACTCATATTCCATAATTACTCCAATTTTTTATTATCCATGATGACGAAAAAGATTCAAATGCGAGAAAAAAATAACGCAAATCAATAAACAAATGACTAATTAAAAAAGAATTTCATTGTTTTAAAATAAAATTAATGTGAAATTAGAATTCTAAGCCAAACAAAAATTATATTGCAGAGCAGCAATTTCATAGGTAAAGACATAATTAAAATTCTGAATTAAGTATCAAAGTGTAGTTACATTATTATTCCTGAATTCTAAGATAGAATGCGTCGTTACCAGTAAAAAGAATCTAAAATTTCGTCACTCATCACACGAAACATGTTGCTTTTTAGTAGGCATTTTATGAGTTTACCCCAGTCAAGATAACCTGTTGGCGTTCCACAATAATACAGCTACAGCGTAGACGTTTAAAATATTTATAATGTTTCCTTAATTTTTTAATTAAAGTGTACATTATGTGAAGAAATATATACATAGTAAATATACTTATACATACATACATATACAATGTGAAGTAAAAAGAAAAAAAAATCAGTAAGTAATTGCCCTCATGTAATGTTGTCGTAAAAGTACTTTTTAGAGTTTCTTTCATAACTTATTTCTAGTTATAAAGCGATAGTAGGTAAACTGTTTACAACAACTTCTGCATCATCTGCATGTATATTATACCTTGTATATACAAAGTAGCGATTTACACTCCCGCTTCGTTGGACATCAGACGTTACAGCTGCATGGCATCCTGAAAAAAATCCAAAAATATATAATGTAAAACGGGCCCAATAACTTCCAAAAGATAAATTCAAATATTATAATACCCTATTTAACTTCCACAACTAAGACGAATCTAATTCAAATTAAAATTAAAATTTCTTTATTTGCCATAAATAGAGTAAGTGATAGGTTTTTACATTAAAAATAAGATGCTTAAAGAACTATTTAGCCATGACATACGGCATGCAAACTTTTTTAAATTACCAAATATAGGTGGTAGTAGATTCTAAAATGTCAACTTATTAAATGTAACTTATATAATTAAAAATGTCATAACTTACAATGTCAATGTCATAATTAAAATTGAAATACATTCAATTATTAATTAAAGTTCAGACAAAATAGTGATACACAGTAATACACAGCAAGTGATTGGACGTAAGTCCATCATAAGTCAACATGCATATTATTATCATTTTGAAATTCCTTAACACTATAATAAAAAAAAAATATTTGCCATTCACGTAACTTTTTGGTCACGAGTCTCATAGAGCCGTGCTTGAACTGCTTGGGAATTTTATTAAATATTTTACACACATGCAGTAACAACCTTTCTGATAGACAGAAGTTTTTGGTTTATGGTATAAGACAAGCCGTTCACTATCTCTAGTGCTTCATGGTTATATATTCCAAGCTGACTTAAATAACCCTGTATGTTGTTTGACAAATTTATATATTTCTAATATGTACATGCCAGGGACTATTAATATACCCAGCTTAGTGAATAGGGGCTTGCATGTATCAAATGGACCTTTACCGCATATAGCACTTATACATTTTTGTGCGATGAGAATTCTATTTACATCAATGCTGTTGCCCCATAGAACCAGACTATAATATTAGACGCGACGTAACCATAATAAGCAGACATGGTTACTCTGAGGATCTTATCTTAGTTAAGCGCCTCAATACGAAAGCAAACCTATTAATTTTATTACAAACTTTGTCAATATGGCCAGTACAATTTAAGTTTTCGTTAAGTACTATACCCAAGAATGAAACCATGGCAGCCCTTTCAATGGTTATATTTTTGTACATCACGTTAAGATTATTTACTGCTCGTCCTTTTGTCTTATTCAGGTTTACATTTAGATTAATTAATTTAAGACATTGAACTTTATTATTAAGTGTGTTGTTAATGTCATTTTCATAACTATTTAAATTGTAATTAACAAATTCGATTTAACAATAATGGAAATGTCATCAGCAAACATTATGCGTTGATGTTTAGTCACTCTCGGTAAGTCATTTATATATAATAAAAATAATATGGGACCTAGAACGTTACCCTGTGGTACTCCAAACTTATTTGTTGTATAATTAGAGCGATCGTATGTAGCTGTATTTCTCTCGTTTATCCTATTTATTTCTACGCATTGGTGTCTATTTTCTAGATATGTTTTAAGCCAAGTGTGAGAAAGGTCTCTGATCCCATACTTTTCCAGTGTATCTAACAGCACATTGTGAACTACAAAATCGGTTGCCTTAGACATATCGAAGAAAAGTACAGTAGTACGCTGTATAACGTCGAGTCAAGAATAACGTTATGTATTAGATTAAAGCACTTAGTTGATTTTCCCTTTTGGAACCCATTTAGCTGCGGTGTTAATGATTTTGAATTTTGTTGCTAATATCTTAGATAAAACCGAAGAAAAATTGACTTTGATATATTATGATCGATCGTTGATAGTATCTTTCACTTTTTATAAATATCATACATATACCTTCCATCGGTTAGGTTTACGTAGTAATCATTAAACAGTTTTGCTATTTTGTCCCATTTGTTATTATACTATTTTCGTATTTTATATGTGTAATGTAATTTTGTGGGGGTTCGATTTCCGTTACGTCTTTGATGAGATTCCTTGAAGCTCTACAAATATTTTGACTGTTCTGGAATTATTTTGGGCTATTGAGATGCACTTCTTAAGCATTTTTGAATACCCGTAATTAAATTTCTCTATCCTATTTAGTTTTTTGTTTATAATACTTAAAACGCAATGATTTTATGCAAACTTTTAAGCCCTTGGTGATCCATTTCGGCTCTGAATTTTTATTGGTAATTTAAACTTTTAAAGGAAAGCAAGATTTATAAAGTGTGCAAAAAAGGTCATAAAATCGATCAAATGCTGCATTAATGTTTTTTGCGTCGTGGACGTCTGAGAAAGATAGTGACTGTAAGTACCCACGAAACTTTAGCAGATTTTCATTGTAATAGTCTCTTTTGTGTTAAAATCAGTATTGTAGACTATGAGTATTTTCGATTGAGAATGACAAGATTTGGGGAGTATTGTGATCAGATAGATAAAGCGGCATTGTCACGTTCCGTAGCTTGTTTAATATTACTTAAATTAATGTGGTCTATAGAGTTATTTACTCTAGTGGGTTCATTTATATGAATTTTTAAATTAAAGTATTTAGGCATATCTTTAATTTTTTCGATGCTTTAGATTCCACTAATGTAATAATATTAATATCTCCAGTGATAATAATTTAATAATGTGTGAATTTCTTTAGCAGCCTCCAGCCTACTTAAAAATGACTGAGCAAATCTATTGTGAGAGGTGTAAACACATAATACCATTACTTTTTATTTAACACTCAAATACTTCTGGTAATAGGTACATTTCAAAAATCTTGAGTTCGTTGCAAGTAAGGCCCTTCTGCAGAAATATTCCCAGAATAGCTTTCTGCTTGCTTGTAATTTGAGAAAGTAGCATTTTCCTCCTCACCTTTTTTTATAAATTATTCTGAGAAACACATTACGTCAGGTTCTGAATTACAGTCTTTCAGTTCAGAGAGTGTCACTTCTAAAAGGTCTTTTTTGAGATCAAATTTGATTCTCTAGCTCAGTAGTCTCTTTTTTGGCATTCTTCGCATGTTCTTGCGATCCTTTTATTTTGTGTTGTAAGGAAATTATCAGGCTGTTACATTTTTTATCACATTTCTTTGAAGAAATTGGAGAAAAGTGTGATGTGGGACTATACTTGAAGTTTTGAAGGGGTTAGTGAAACGGGAAATCCCTTATTTATCTCTTTTCTGCTTTTAATTATTGGAGATTGACATATGCTCTTTAGAACCTCAATTTCCTCCTTTAATTTATTTATTTCTCTCTTTGTTTTCTATTATCGTATTCTTTAGCTCATTTTATGTAGCATTCCTTCGACAAATAACGAGCTCCTTCTTGGGCAGTCAGTTAAATATAAGTCATGTAGTATGTATTGCTTTATTTTAATAATTATGGCACGATGTGGTATACGATGCTAAGCATTTTCATAGCAACTTTCTGATAAAAATACGTTAAAATATTGACATACAGGTGAAAACGCATCTGCATTTTGAATTTTAATCGAGGATAGATGTAGGTATCTATGGGCCACAGCATACACTTAATATCAGGTGGGCTTTGTCACCCTTATTCTATATATAAAAGTAAAATATTGTATTTTATAATAATAATATACTACAACAACCCATGATTTAAACAGAGAGCTCTAGAATTTTCGATTCCAAAAATAGTGGATAAAAATGTTAACCTTACCTGCCAATACAGCAACAAAGAAATACAATCCCTTTAGCATGTTGACAGCGCTCACTGATGCGTTCATTTTTGTTTATTCTGCGCGATTCATAATATCATCCCACTGTTATACTACTGCTTATATATGGAACTTTTATATGATAACAAATTTGTATTGACAAATTAGATAAACAATATACATGATCAAAGTGATAGTAGTAACATACCGGCAGAATTTTAAATAGTTTTAATTGATTATCGATAAGATTACTAGCGGTCACCTTAAAAAGTTCCACTAAAAATTTACTCATCGTTGTCACAAATGACATAGTTTTGATTAACCTTCATTGCTTCTTCAAAGTATATTTTTACGGCAATAAAGTTAATTAAAATGATTATGTACGAGTATATGAGCTTCAACTTGATTTCTCTCCTTTTTACTTCTCCGTTCAATCATCTAACCTTCCAGAGTCGGCTGATATCCATCCCTTTTTTGTCGCTCGACATATCACGCATTCGAACCAAATAGCCGGCCATATATCTCGAAGAACCGACAACCGATAGGGAAGATAGGTTCTCGAGTAGCAGCTTCATACCAGTAAGCGAAGTGTAAGGCCGGCTCCCCCAATTGATGAAGTAAGGGCCTGTTAAAAGATGCACGAAGTCGGTGGGTGCAGGTGGCTCAAGACCGTGCTTTGTGTCATTTCTCGGGGAAAACTTATACTTATTATTTAGCTGTAGACTTTTGAAGAATTTGCTTCGTAATTCATAATGCGTACAGAAAAGTGGGTAATTTGATTTTGAAGGCAAGAGTGAATAGACTTTTCTTATGGTAAGTCATTGTGCTTTACTATCATCGGCTGCATCATCACTTACCATCAGTCGTGATAGACGTAAAGCACTGGCTTATAATAGTTAAAAAAAATTATACTGTACTTGATGTCATAAAGTATTAACAAATTAAAAAAAACTATTTCACCTCATATAGGATTTCGCTAATTATAAAGTTTAAATACTTCATGCATGCTTTACGAGCTAAAGCTTAGTCTAACTTATGGCTGCAGCAATCGGTTTGGCCGCAGATGTACCACGCTCGCAAAGAACTGGTATTATGTATGTGCGAGCGTCGTATTTAAATACGTATGTGAAATAGCAACATAATGCTGCTGTGTGTTCGTATACTGACGAGAATCAAAACCGATCTTTTTTACTGGTAAAAAAATGCCTTTATACCAGAAAGACAGGGATCCCCGGTTCTCGTTGCTTTCATGTTAGTTCTCAGGGGGAGACAACGCACTTGCATTATTTTTTTATATATTTTACATTAACAAAGACCCGATACAATTATTTTAGGCCATACAAACATATGTTTTGTGCAGGATTCAAAATACGCTAACAAGCTGTTTTGATTCCTTAATGAGGATATATGGGCTACACCTGGGCTGGACGTTATGCTCGTTTGTCATCCTTATTTGTATAAAAAAGAAAACTGTATTTTCAACCTATGCTTAAGTAAATAAGTAATAAATTAGTACTGCCTTATAAAAAAATATCATTTTCAATTAATTTTCAACCACGCCGACAACAACAAAATAAATTTTTATCAACTACACAAGAAGTGTTATAGTGCTACAAGTGTATATGTAATTAGTCCAATGTAACGCTAATGTGATCAGATTAGCGATAGCTGATTGTAAATATTTTCAAGAAAAAATACGTAATTCGTCAAATATAATATACGCTTACGCAAGAGCATACGTTAAAATATTTAGTTGATATAGTTGACAGTAGCCTGACCGTTAAGGATACGGACTACGAAATTCAAAATGTCATAGGTTTTAATTCGCTATTCTACTACTGGCGTGAACCACTCCTAGCACAAGCATTTTAAGCTTACTTTTTTTTATATGAAGCGTGTCAAACGAGCACGCAGTCCACCTGATGGTAAGTGGTTGCTGCGGTCCATAGACATCTATATCTATCCTCTATTACAAATCAAAATGCAGATGCGTTGTCACTCGTGAGGACTAAGATGGAATGCCTCATTTCCAGTAAAAAGGGTCTCTGGTTCTCTACACTCACCATACGAAACACAGCAGCGCTAAGCTGCTATTTTACGCTGGTATTCTGTGAGAGCGTGGTCCTTCCCCAGTCGAGCCGACACATTCGTGCTACAACTATACTACTAATATAGCTGCAGCATGGCTCTACTACGTAAAAAAATTGGAGTGGTTAAAGTTATAGCTGCCAGTATTTTTTAGAAAATTGCCCAAAATTACCGGGTCAGGTCAGTTAGTCAGGTTAGTTTAGCTTACGTACAGCATTTACCCTCGCATACTATACTATACCCCATCCCCATGGATATACACAGATACATTTGCCGGTCGTAAGAAACTCGATTGTTAGTAGAGAATGGAAGAGAATATAATTAAATATAATACAAAAGAATAATTGTGTTCCACATGCATTATAAACAATATTTTGGTTGCTTGGTTACAGCCCATATTATACGTCCAACTCCTAGGTACAGGTCTCCTCAGGTTTCTTAGAGGGTTTTGGAGCGATTAGTTTTTAGCGCTGCTCCAGCGTGTGTTGGCGGACTTCAAACTGCAGTAAAGTATAACATTTTAAAGAAACCTTCATAACTGAGGAATAAACAATACTTATTATTTGAAGTGTCAGTAGCCTAATGGCAGGGCGCGGACCGCGAACTCGAAAGGTCGTGCGTTCGAATCCGCCTTTCGACTACTGTCGTCAACCACTTCTACCACAAGCATTTTAAGCTTACCAGAAGTTGTTAAAGGGTATATTAGTAATGTTTATTAATAGCATTACTAGTATTTTTTTTAAAAAATCATACAATAAAATGTTGATATTACCACCAGTTCATAAAAACACCGGGTAGTACCACCAAGAGACCCAGACAGAATTAAAAAAAATTGCCACCTTAAAATAAATGTCCTATTAATATATCGTGGAACAAATATTCGCGTGCTTTTTTACCATTTATCGATAATTGTTTGCATTAATAATACGATTAAAATAATAATCGTTTTATCGAGGGCCTTTTCATATACCGTAACTCCAATATATAAGGCTTTTAATATGCTTGTTTGCTAATGGTTAATCCCTTAGCCGCAATTACGTTATATGGGTTTAGTATCGTAACACAAATAGGTCAGGGGTTTAATCGGTGACGCATACTTGCGTTAAGAAATTTGGCAGGACATTCCCATAGCTTGTCCAAGTAGTGTATCTAACGAGGGGTAGTCACTTACTGACCTAGTATTACTTGGCAAAGGATTCGCTACGTCTCAGATTCCGGACTACAAAACTAAACCGTGTCATGAATGCTTGAACTAATAATCCTAATATCGACTTTCGTTATATAACGAATTGCAGAGCAAAAAAATATTTGTAATGAAATATTATACACTAGATACAAAAAGTAATTTTCAAGATCTTTTTCTATTTCTTCAACCCGTGTCTCCTTCCAGACATGAAACTCTTCCTTTTTGTAGAAAGGTTTTGACGCAGACGTAACGATTGGCAAGCGAATTGGCGACTGCAGCATCAGATGTCTCACACCTTTGACGTTGCTCCTCGTCACCTGGTTATTTCATATGTGCTAAATACAAGACGGTACACTGATATTAATTGGAAAATCAAAGGACTTTTATGGCTGCAATGGAGTGAAGGATGGATATTCTCTTTTTCTGCTCTCCCATAGTCACCTCTTACAAAGATGGAATAGGGTTTTCTTCTACACTGCCATAACAATATGGCATTTCAAGATAAGACTCTGGAATTAGTTTTCACTAAGAAACAATTACAATAATTGTTTCGCAATCTGTTGAATGCCAATACGTTTTTTTTTTTTTGTTATCATCCCATCTTTCACAAGTCTTCTATCACAGGAAAGTTCGAGCATAGCCCTCTCTATAACTCACTAATCATAGCTATAGCACCTTCAGATTCTCATATGGAGAGGACCCCGGGGGACCATACCTTTTATCCTTAGTAAAATAAAGTTAAAGCCGTGACGTTCTTAGGGCCAAGAAGTTGCTACAGCGCTTTTGTGTGTTCTTAGATTTGTAGTTTTCTCAAAATGTTGTATACACCACAGAATACGTGGTAAATTACCATTTAAAATTGTATTGAATAAAACTATTTTTTACGGATTTTATCGCGTTTAATTTACTTATTTTATATTCCCGACGTTTCGGTTGCTTTCCAGCAACCGTGGTCACGGGGGGTGACCACGGTTGCTGGAAAGCAACCGAAACGTCGGGAATATAAAATAAGTAAATTAAACGCGATAAAATCCGTAAAAAATAGTTTTATTCAATGTGTAGTGTTCGCGTAAATATAAGAAATCATTATTTAAAATTGTAATTAACAATTTCATACCGGCGGAGATTGAAGCCGGGTTGTTCGCACTATGAAATTTACAGCGAGCCTTTAACCCCATGAGCAATCCCGGCTCTTCTCAAACCTTTATGTCACACAATTCTCACAATTCTGTCAAATGACTTTAATTTAAAGTGGGGATTAAAAGTACGTTAAGTGTATATCATGGCGTGTTAGTAAAAAGCTAGCAGTTATTCTTAACTTTATAAAATAACTAGCTGTTCCCTGCGAATTCGCTCTCGATTTGGGGTTTTTATTTTTTTGCGCGGAACCCTAATTCTTTTTCTAAAATATAACAGTAGCCTAAGTTACTCCTTATGACATCAGCTATATGCCAGTGAAAGTCCCGTCAAAATCGGTCTAGCCGTATCGGAGATTAGCTGAACAAACAGACAGACAAACAGACAAAAATTTAAAAATTTGTATTTTAGTTATAAGTACCGTATTTACTTTCATATGCATTTAGTAAAAAGCTGTATTTTGGCATTACAAACAGACACTTCAATTTTATTTACTTGTATAGATTTTGTTATTAAGTTTCTAAGAATGGCGGAATTAAAAAGGCTCTTAGCAGTCTTTAATTAATATAACTACCATCAAATAAAATAATAATATGAATCTATAATAATTCACGATTTTACTAAAGCAAAACTTAACTAACCGATGTTCTACATTGTTAGATAAGATAGATAGATCCCTCTTCTTCTTCATTAGCTCGAAAAAATCTATATACATAGATAACTTTACATCTTTAATCCCCTAGGGAAGCAGAGTCTAAACCAGCAGTGAACCAAGTTCAGTCAGAAAATATGGATTTAGATGGAAAATTGGTGAATCGCTTACACAATCACAAACCAACTATCCTATTAGTCTCACGATATGCTAAGCAAGTAACACAATTGGCGCATTCTTTTTTATAAGTTCCACATAAACATAAGACCTATAAGTCCCAGACCAAAATGAGCAGAAGTCGACAGCTGGAAAAGGGCATTTTTCGTTGCAGTACAATTCAAGTTAATTGTTACGCTTGGCAGGAAGATTGACGATGCAGTACCAGACGTCTCAAACATTTGACGCTTTTGCCTGTAGCCGCTCTGAGTAACACTCACACCGCTAGCATAAACTAGATGGTAATACTGTCATTTATCAAAAGCCAGGGGATTTTTTTTACTTCTTATAGTCGCATCCAACGACACCCACAAGACGAAATAGGGTGTTGTTCTCTTTTACAACCACACGACTTATTATCCAACTTCAAAGAAAGAGGAGTACCTTAAATGCAGTGTATATTCTTTTTTATATGTATGTTATTCGATATCTTCGTCAATTGTGAATCGATTTTATGATTTTTTTTTATTAAATAGCTTATACTTTAGGGATCGTATAACATACATTTGGAGAAAAACTCCAACGCTGGAGTAGAAAAATAGGGGATAAATTTCAAATGTAACTATTTTTAACGACATAAAAAAAGGATAAAATAATTGCCGCATAATAGCTTCAGAAGTCGGGACTCACACATACACACACACAAAGTATGTATATACTTCTAAAACTATTATGCGGAAATGTTTTTATTCTTTTTAGTTTTTTGATAGCGTCTTTTACTTTTTATTAAAAATCTAATTTTACTACAATACCGACACAATCTAATTCGTTCCCGGCGTACACATAATTATTCTTAGGAAAACTGCTAAACTATTTTTTGTGGAAATAAATACTTTTGGAAAAAAGGGGTAAAAATTTGAGTGCTGCATTTCTGTTGGTAGAATGAGTAAGTACTGCTTAGGAAAGAGGTGTTTCAGATATTCCTGAATAATCAACCACGTTATTATTACAAGAAATAAATAATACTTATTTCATTCAGAGCCCTTGCACCATCGAATTAACCTGATTGTCTCTTTAGAATGTACTAGGAAAGGTACCAAGGTATCGGAAAACTTAAATGTATGTACACAATATAATAAATTACATAATAACTATGATGTAGATACCCTTTTGACTAGACAATAATAATATAGTAAAAATAAATTGTTAAAAAAAACAGATAAATATTTCATAAGGAAAATTAATTCCGGAGATATATGCTTCTCGTAGATATCTTTTAAAACGTTCCAGTAAAGGCGCACTGTAACATATTTAATAATATTGAATAGTACAGATATTTCTATTTTTTCATCGTTCTTTATTTAATTAGAATTATGTTAAATGATTGTCTCGCACATACTTCCTGAAAGCCTAAGAAAACCCGTGATCTTATAAAACCGGAAGGAAAAGCCGTACGATTAAAAGCATATGATTTATAATATCACTGGATTGGATACTGGCGTAGTTAGCAATTGATGCAATTTTGCGAAACTACAAAAAAATCAGTTATTGTAAAGTCAATACATGAAATACATGCACTCCATATGTAGCACTACCAAACGGTGACTTGAGCATTCATGGGTCTTTGCTGTATTTATAGGATGATGAGCACTTGAGGTTTACTCTCAAGTAAGTATAGTAATATATACTATTTAACTATTAATTACGACATTAATATCAAATATCAATAAAAATTAATTCTTAGCGTCTTTCGTGATTTATAATTAAGTACACTTGCGGGGGATATGGGACCCGTGAACTTAACCAACAATTATATATGTAATCGCATAAAATTTTTAGATTTCCTGTAAAAAAGTAAATCAAAAGCTTGTTATAAATATAAAAACAGTGTATTATATTTGAATATGAGAATATCCTTTCTAGCGTTAAATAAAAAATGCGACAAATTATTGCAGTTTTCTGGTTGTTCAAACGCTTAGTTAAAGAATATATTGACTTGAAACAAATAAACTATTTTCATACTTTATTCTTAATTATATATCAGGTATAAAATTGATTCAAATTAACATTTATTTTATATTTTAAATATTATTACTCAAACTAAGAAAAAAAATTGAATTAAAACTACTTAGCGAATTTTAAAACAAAAGGGTTAAAAGCTCAAAGATGATGAGACGGATGTACGGGAGTCATAAGGTTTCCTCAAGCCAAGGTATTTCGTTACAATTAACAAAGGGTAAAAGGGTTCATTACAATTAGAAAATGAAAGTAAAACTATAATAAATAACCTTAGAAAGGAGGTTTACAATTGGATAGCAGTATTTATTTTATGCAACATAATATTATATTATTACAGAAACTAATCATATAACTAATTTACTTTAATCATATAATTTATTTATTTTTTATTTCCAATTTTTGATTATTATTTTATCATAAATATTGTTTATTAATTACAGAGTTTTATATGTTAAGTATCTGTATACAATGGTAACAGCGCGTAAGGCATAATGATTGATGCCATTTTGCATAAAGGTAAATATTTAATTAAAGAAAAAAACATTTTAATGTGATTTTGATTGACCTGATATTTTAAAATTTGTTCTGTTTCAGAATACATTATTCTCGTAGATTCTAAACTCACATTGCCTGTCATTAAAATCAAAAAGTCTAACTTTAATTTGGTTTGAAACTGAGGTCATTATTGCGCGCATGCGTGTCAAAGGTCGCTCTGTACTCGCACCAGATGGACCGTTCAGTTTCACACTCGTACTTCTCCCGCGAGCTGCATCCAGTATCGGTCACCCCACGGAATTCGGAAAACTTTGTAGGAATTTTTAAAATTCCAGAGCGGAATTCTTGCAGTTGCGATTATTTGGAACGCTAAGTAGTGGCTTAATGTCGGCGTCTAATGTGTAAATTATCGTGTAATTTAGGCGTCATGCAGTGGGCAACGGTTGTGATACTTTTCAGTCTTGTTTGTTCAGGTAAGTTCAAATAAGTTATTTCAATGACATTATAGCTAAAATAAATGCTTAAAATAAATAAAACTCCTTCGTGTTTGTGTTATGGGAATAATTCGTCGTAACTACATATAGTTAAAATAACCGTTAATGTTAAAATAATGTAATGCTTAAAGATAGAATAAAAGAACTACGGTCTATTATTATAGATCTTTTAAGAATTTATAATCATAATGATTAATGATCTTACTTAAAATTAAATTGGTTGTTGTAAAATACAATTAAAAAGCTGTACCTTTTGCTTTAAAATCCGCAATCTAAAATTTAAAAAAAAAATTAAAAAAAAAAGAAAAAAAGAAGGAAATCGTCTATTTTATTATTACAATGATTTTCCACGGAATGCTTTAATGTTTTTATTATAATTATACGAAAATTATATTAATTTTTCTTTCTTTAATAAATTATTGCCAAATTGCGTAATACTAAACATTAAGTATCTAATTATTAGTATCTAGGTAAATTAAAATCAATCAATTATTAACATTTATATGATACATAAAATATTATTGCCTGCCTCAAAGGAAAAAAGCACCTAATGCATTGGTCATACGTTTAATTGGCAGGTCAGTCCGAATGTCAATTACAGTTCATTCAACTAACGAGGTTACGCACCAATAAAATACATATTGTCATGAAAATTACTCGCCTTTCCTGTGTGAGGATAGATTATTATTTTTATTATTATTTTCCAAGAATGTGTTTCCGATGTTAGAATATTCGAAATTGTTACAGATATTGTGATCTTTTTTTTTTGTTTTGCATTGTTTTAACATATTCAAATGCCAAAATAACAAAACATACGTGGTTGAGCTAGGCTGCAGCTATATTGTTGTAGTACGAGTAGATCGGCTCAACCGAGGAAAGATTCTCACAGAATACCAGCGTAAAATGTTTCATGTGGTGAGTGACCCTTGTCACTGGAAACAAAGCATTTCATTTTAGCTTCCAGAGGTGATAATGCATCTAAATTTTGATTCTTAATCGCGGATAGATGTCTATGCCACATATCATCACGACCACTTGGAATCGATTGTCACCCATACTCCTATTAAAAAAAAATTAAAAGCATCGGTCACATCGGTACACTTTTCTATTTAATTCAAACATCAACTTGTGATATTCCTTGAACTTGAAATTGTAATATTCCTTTGAGACTCAATTATTCAATTTAATACTAAAAAAAATAATTTCCACGTAATAGCTACTGAAGTCGGTGCTAAGACATATCAAATAAATTTTTCTGAGCAGTTGATAACTACTGCTTTCAAGGTTGTCGAAATGGGAGAATACAGTCGGAAAAAAAAGTTGAAAATTATAATTAAATAATGAAAATAATATTTACAATATCATCAATTCGTACACTTTATCTTTTATGACATTAAACGGAGGATAAAGAATTATCATTATTATAGTTAACAGTGTCGCGAAGTGGTGACGTAAAAGAAACTTTTAATTGCTTATCATCCCATGGACCAAGGGAAATGAAACAGGTGATCAGGCTACATCATCTTCCTGATATTAACTTCATAGTTTCAAATAATAAAAAATCTGTGTTTGCCAAACCGTCTGTCGAGGGTCCCAGATGCGAGAATTATTTTTTACTAGAGTTCAGTAATAGATATTACAACAAAATGGCTGTTGGTAGCTAGTGTTTGAGTAGGTAATTAAAATCTCATTTACAAATATATCCCGTATGAGTCAATGTGTAGAAAAGGCCAATGTATAGCTGTGGCTTTTCGATAGAATGTAATGAATGAATGAACGGTTGCTTGAAATTCTTTTCTTATTTTATAAAGTTTCTTTGTCTGCTTCTTCGTCGGCCCGTAAATGACATAGGCAATAAAACACGGGCCTCTCCCGTTGTATCCGGATTTGCCTTAATCACTTTTTTCGTTTGATTGAGGCTTTGACAGAAATGTTATATAATTTTAAAAATTGTCGTTTTTTTATTCGTACTATATTTATTTTCAATAAAGTAAAAAAACGGAAAATTATTTATAATCGCTTGTAATTACGAACACAATAACACGACACAGGACGCGTAAATGTGTGAGGCTTCACAGAACTAGACTACAAAATAGGCTATGTGATGTACGGGTATAGAATATAGGAGTGGTTTAACGAGCCAAGCCCTTAGGGCATTAACCGCTTGAACCAGAAAGTAAATACTTCTTGTTATTAATCACTTTATTCTATATTTTATTTGTTTATTTAGATTAAAACGTTACCCTCATAGTGGACATACATCCAAACTGAGAACATCTATTTTTAGGCCATATTAAACAATCGTTCCGTTCAGAATTCAAACCCATGGCCCTACAGCACCACAACCAAACACTTTCTATGGAGCCGTCAAAATTTTTGAATTTATGAATAATATTTTACTTCATATAAACTTTTTGAATCTCTAAACATGTGGACCTTTTTAAGAATGCGCCCAAAAACGCATTTCTTGAAATTCATAGTTCTGTGTTTTTGTTAGGTAGCAGGCAACAAATTGTTATATAAGTTGGGGTGTTGTATGTTAGAGTTACTTTTTTTGAACGGAAACACAGACAATAATCTGGAATCGGTTATGAGAATATCATTATTAAATAACTCGATCCTCTATAATAGTTTAAAACTGGTTATGAGGTTATGAGGATGAGTTGAATTTGCCGTAATCGCCACGCTTGATAAGCAGTGATGAAAGTACCAAAACATCTTCATTTACATTTCCGTCTTTTATCTAAGGATTTATAATTATATATAAATACGGCTTTATACACTGCTCTTGCGAAGAGACGGTCCATCTCTATATATTTTCTATCGCATATACCCCGGAGGTGATCTAAGGGATTTTTTTTTTCAATAAAAAACGTTACCCCCATAGTAGCATTTTCTCCTGTATTGTGGAGGCAGTTAACAAACACAAATTGCACAAGGACAATTATCCAGATACACAGCTTTCAGTGCCGCAACTAAATTCAAAACCAAGCACCATAGAGCCATCGGATTGATTCCAGGTGCTAAATTCCACCTTCATACACTACAACTGAACTCGAAATTCCATCCACATCATGTTAATGGTTGTTGATCCACTAACATTCGTTTTACCACAAATTTTCTACCAATTTACTATCGCCAGCGGTTTTCCAGACTGATTCTTGCTTAGAGACATTCAAGAAAAGATCCGACTTCTATCTAAAAGTCCGTTAACGCGTTGCAATTTCTAAGGTATTATATATATATTCATGGGCGGCAGTGATCATTTACCATCAGGGGAGCTATATGCTCGTTTGCCTCCGCTTATATAAAAATACAAGATAGTAATACTGCTGCAATCTATCGTGAGATTACTACCATCTTAGTAATATCACAAGAACATCAGTTCTTTCCTAAATTGCCTATTATTATCACCCACTGGATGATATGGGGCGATGTATTCTTTTAGGCTCCTACAACATAATGTTAGACGTAATACGTTGAATAAAACACAAGGATTATAAAATAAGTCAAGTGCTGGAATTGGTAATATAACAAAGGAAATTAGATCATTTGTTCATGTGAATTCATAGAGATTATGTTTGAATGCGAATGAATTTATCATGCTAAAGTCGCTGCTTAAAAAGTTTTTTCCTTGACATGAATTTAGCGTGGCTTGCTTAGAGATGTCATCAGTCGACTTCCAAAAAGGAGACTGTACTCAATTCGACTGTATTTTTTATGTGTGTTACCTCATAACTTTTTACTGGGTGAACCGATTTCGATAATTCTTTTTTTATTTGAAAGCTGGTAGTTCTCGTGTGGTCCCATATGAATTTGATCAAGGTCAAGCCAATAGTTTTTGAGTTATTCTTAATAACTTATATTGAAGTCGGCTGTACAAAATTTTTAATTTTAAATTATTTAGAAGCCAACTAGGAATCATAGGTATTGTCATTTATTAAAAGAAAATATTGTTTATTAATTACAGAGTTTTATTTGTTAAGTATCTGTATACAAGTGCCAGCAAGTACAGAGTAGAGTTTCCCCCGGTCCTGAGCTACATGCAAAAATCGATTTCCTGCATGCCTTACAAAGTCGTCACTCCATCTAGTGGGGGGCTACCCTACATTCCAAAGGTTGCCACTTTAAAACCATTTTTCGCCATCGGTTGTCGGTTCTAAGAACTATGTGGTCGGTCATTGGCACTTCAGTTTAATGAACCATTGGCCTATATTGATTATCTAGTTTTGCTGGATCTTCAGTAATATTAAAAAAAACAATATGCTTACAAAAATTAGACATTGTAACTAAATCTATCTTAGTAATACCTTACACTAACTACACTTCGAACTACGTGGCCGGCGCATTGTTACTTCAGCTTACTGATCCATTAACCTTTGTCGGTTACCCTGATTATATGACACTGGTACATTAATCTATCCTAATTTTTGTATGCTTCGTAGGACTAGTGGTCGTAAACGCAACTATTGCTGATCATGCTGGTCTCAAATGACCCGGGTCGAGCCAAGAAAAAAAAACAGTTATTGAGTTTTTTCGTCAATATATTCTCAGCCCGGAATCAGGAAGTTGTCATGGTTTTCCCTTTACTTCGAAAGCACGTAAATCCGTTGGTTCTGCGCCTGATCTCTCTCCGATAGTGTCGAATAGCCGTCTCATCGAACTATAAGAGTCAGGGAATAGAGAGTGCTTGCTTGCGCATACACTCGGTCACTATAATTCTGTACTGCGCAGATAAAATGCCCTGTAAGAAATTATTTTATTGTTATTCTAATTCTTATATTAATCTTATTTATTATCTACAATATTTTAGAAATATTTGTCTTCCTTCGATCTTACAACAAAAAAAGTTCCAACAATGGACGCCAACATCATTAAAATTTAACTTGAATAGTATACTGTTGTTGGGGGTTTGAAAAAAAACTGGTAAATGCCCCATACAAAATTTTATTACAAATATCAACCTAACTCACCTAAAA